CCACTGGTCGTCCTTGTGACATTAGTGACTTTTCTTTTGTATTCGCCTCTGGCTTCTTTTTTTTCCTTATTGGATTTTACGAGTTAAATTTGGCCGCCATTTTTGTCTAGTCGCCGGCAAAGTTTTACCTCTGCGAAAAGGCACGAATTCATAAGAAAACGAGTAAGTTATAAAAAAAAAACTCACAACCGCATGTATCCACTTTTGTGAGTGTATAGAATAAATCCAGCATTATCTAATTGTGTAGCGTCGAAGCGTAGAAATGTTTGACGCAATAAATGCCTGTGGAAAGGCGAGCTAACCAAAGTGGGTTAGGCGATTGGCCTTGCCTATGGTGTGTACGTGAACGCCAGATCTGCGTTATATGGTATCATGTGTGTTTATATATGTATGTACAAATATATGTACATACATACGAGTAAGTAACAATATTAGCGGCTATAAGTCCAACGTTGGGACACGCATCAACCGGAAAAAAGCACTCAAGCAAAGACGCTTTATTATTTTGAAATAAAATTTATATATTTTTAGTGGAAGTCATAAACATGTAAGCACATACAAACACACATAGAATAGAAATACATATAAGGACATGTATCCGCAAAGATGTAATAGCACTAAATAGCTTTAGCAAAGAAGAAGGAATTGTTACAAATGGAAATGGAATGGAAGGTGTAACTTAACTGGAGACAAGCCTTATACAAAGAAGCACATGTACCTACATACATATGTACTTATTGTAACTAAATCTCTAGTTCTGAACTGGTGCGCCTATAGTTTATTTAGACCCACTACTGGTTCGCGATAAATCTCTTTTGCATGCAAGCAACTGGCGAATTTAGCACGGTGATGTCACAGGAAGTGGAAATTCTCGCCCGGTGCATTACCTTTTCTATAGTTCCGAACCAGTTCTAAGAATCGACTGATGTTTGAAAATTAAGTCTTTTTGCTTTCCCATGGTAGCGGATTTTTAAATATTTGCAAAGAAATGTGTTTTCAATCTGCAATCAAGTTTGTTTGAATAAAAGTAATTCAAATTGAGCATTTTAAAAAAACCCTTTTACCGACATACACTGCCGGCCAAAAGTATTGGCACAGCAAATTTTTCACAATATATGCAACAATTTTTTTTCTAATATTTTTCCGCCAATTTTTTTATAAAAATATGGTTCATGCTACAACAAAAAAAAAATATTAAAATATAATTCCTAAGCTTTGTACAAAACTAACGAAAATGCAGCAAATTTTCATGCAAATTTCCAACTTTTTAACTGATTTTTTCAAATTTTTTTGAGTATGCAGATTTGTAGCCCAAGTTTTAAGTACCTAGGAATTACCGTTGATTTTTGCCAATTTTTTGCACGCAGTCTCTTCCATACAAAAAAAATGTTTCGAAAATATTTTATATGGAAAAAATGCAAAACACCTTCAATAAAAAAAATCTCAAAAATCAATGCGATTTTTGACTAAATCCGAACTTGCATTTTTTTACTAGAATTTAATGGGCTACGAAACCGCATATTTAAAAAATTCTAAAAAATCTGATTAAAAGATGAAAATTTGTTGACTTTTCGGGAGTTTAGCACAAAGTTTAGGAATTATATATTTATGTTTTTTGTTGTATTCTTATAAAAAATTGGCGGAAAAATATTAGACAAAAAATGTATGCATATATTGTGAATAATTTGCTGTGCCAGTACTTTTTGATTGCAGTGTACCTTTGGCTGTAGCTGAGTTAGCAGAGGTGCTTGCTTTAATTGGTAATGGCGTTTTCTTTTCTCGAAAAAAAAAAATGTCACCTTCTTATGTGGCAACATTATCCGAGTGCAACATTTTAAAGAAAGTGCACGCAATATGCATGTGAGGATGCTGAGTAAAGAACACGAAAACTTGACAGCCCTGGTGCAAGGCAGAATAAAAGCAGCATTATTTCGAGAAAATAAAACGCTATAAGATTCCAGGAGGTGCCAAGATGTTAAATTGTAAAAAAAAAATGTTGTTTTGTATTAACAAACTATGAAAAAGCATCTGCGAAGTGCAGAATTAAATTGTATTTGAACGAAAAAGCCGCCAAACAAATATCTATTTAAAGTAAACAAGCCACTCGCGGCATCCCTTTTTCGATAGTTCCGAACTAGTTCTAAGTTCATCATCTTAAATAAAGATTTATAATCAAAAGTTGTGTTAGTCCATGGGCTTTATCACATTTTCTGTGACCATTTTGGATTCAGCAAATTTGCATATCACCGAAAAGAAATGGTTAAACAATAAAATAGGTCGTTCGGTTTTTTAGAAAACGACACATTTCTAACTGTTATTGCTTCGTGCAATAATATATAATTTTTAAGAAAAAGTGGACTTGGCAGCAACTTTTCACTCTTAGCTAGCGACATGTAATTTTAAAAAGCAGAGTAAGTACCTGCCACATTTCGCTGCTTTTGAACTGTTGGCGAATAGTTACTATCGGACTGGTTCGTTTTTGACGATAAAGATCTAGTACGGAACTAGATATTTTGTCCATCAATTCGGCTTTTCCCCACAGGCACATGCATTCACGTATTACATTAAATATGAATTATTATTATAGGAGTGCGTGTATGCGTGAGTGAATTACTGAAAATGCTCAACTGCGCAATGGGCAATAACTGCACTGAGTAGTCTTCAATAAAATAGCGATTAAATTGGCGATATTTACTTTCAAATACATACTACAACCAATTCCCCTACATTGCTGCGCTCATAAAGATAGAGGTAAAGATAAAGATCTATAGCACTAATACAGTGCCGGCCACCTGAATAGCGTCCTATTTTGATGCTCAGTGTTGGCATTTTTTTCCTTTTGTTTATTTGAAATTCAATAATGTTTTTTAAAAATATAGCATACAGATACTATAACAAAAACCATTTAAATCCTATTTTCAAACTTTATAAAAAGTTTTAATACCAATTTGAAACTACTTAAAAACAAAATGTTTAGAACTTTTAAGAGTATGCAGTTGTATAGCCCCTACAATTTTTGTACAATAAAATGCAAAAACGACTGTTGGGTTTTAATAATTTATACATTTGGTAAAAATTCCTTGAATTATTAAAAATATTTTATAAAGTTTTAAAATCGGATTTACATGGTTTTTGTTATAGAATATTGTATATTTTTACAAAAAAATTATGAATTTTGTGCCTGCACTGTATGTATATGTATACTATCGGCTATGGCATGCGCACTGGGTTTAAAATTTCCCCTTATCTTTAATCCTTCTCTCTGTACTTAATAGACCTCAATTTTTTTTAACCAGTTAGAAAGTTTAACCTAGCAAATGCAGAAGCCTATTTACCATTAAACAGTTCGTGGCATAGACTGGGTCGAATTATTCCTTTCTGCGTATCACTGAAACCTGAAAGAGATGGAATGGACCCTTTTACATAACAGAACATAAACAAAGGACTGACACATTGTGCGTTACATTCGATCCTCCTAAAATGCAACTGCCACACCCAGGGTTACAGTAGAACCATTCCTTATTAAAAGTCGCCTATCTAGGATTACAACGCTTTCAAGTTTAACGGCTCTATTCTGTATCAGTGACAAATTTTTGTCACCGTTTTTTTTACGGAAAAATATATGAAAAAATTTAAATTTGTCAGTAAAAAAAATTTTGGCACCTATACAGAATTCGGTCATAAGAATATTTTTGGTATATTTAAAAAAAAAAAACGATCCTTATGGCTGTAATTTGTAGACAATTGGTATAAAATTTCCTGTAGGGTACTATATAATATACATATGTATATGTACGCATACATAAAAACTCGTACCATTTAGGTTCCATACACGTAAAAATATGTAGGAGTAATATGAACTTAAGCTGCAGTTTATAATATTCCAGTAAAATTGATAATCTAACTTTCCTGGAACCTGACTGCCAGACTGAGTGAATGATTGAGTTGATGATTTTAATAAAAAAATATATATGTAAATCTGCAGAATATATAAGGCCCTTGCCAAGGACGTTCCGAGCTATATAAATTTCTGGGTGAAAAGTTCTCCAAACACATCTCAACATCTGAGAGTTGGTGAAATCTCCGCAAATGGAAGTGGTAAACGCCTTTTTAGTATAGCGCACAAGGTGCTATTGAAAATCTAGTCCACCAACCCAATGAATGCCAATCTTTTAAAAATATTTTCAGATATAGCGAGTTAATTTTTGTATGTACTCCTCAGATCCCTTTAGTATATTTTTTTGTGAATTTGGCAACACAAGGGTAATTTATATTTAAAACTAGTCTGGCAACCTCGACATATACATATATATATATATATATATTTATTATTAATTTATAATATTACTAGTTACAGTTCAGATACCACAATTTTTCGCTGACCAATTCCGCTATACATTTATTTATTTACTCGTAAGTACCTCACCAGGGTTGCCACTGAAAATTGAAACTGATTTTTAACAATTTTTTGCTACCGTTCTCTTTTTTATTTAACAGTTGTCATTCATAAAAACTGGCGTAGATTTTTTAAATTTTTATCAGAAAAATCATAGTGTATAATTTTATTCCTGTTCATTTCTTTCTTTTTATTCAAATTATTTAATTCATTTAAAATATTTTGGCAATGAAAAGCTCCTTCTGATTCTAGTAAAATTAGTTTTGAATGGAGCACGATATGTTCGCCTTTAATCGATATGTATGTATGTATGTGTTTAAAAAACGTGCACTAAATCGTTCGAAAATTAATGCAATAAAGTAGATTACACGAAAGTTTTATTTATTTTTCAAGCAAAAATCTACTAAAATTAAAAAAAAAAATGTAGCTTTTTACCAGCCCAAATTTTTTCTATAAATTTTGATAATAATTTAACAAATTGGCAACCTGTGCCTCACCCTTTGACCGTTTATCGCGCTAACACCTCGTCGTCTGAGTCAGAAACTTTACACCTAACTAACCTTTATTAGTAGCTCAGTTGCATTCGTTGCAAAACCATTCGCTGTTGAAAGCATTGTGTTTAGTATATTTCACTTGTAATCGCTCGAACTGATAAGAAAATGATATTAACGAAATACGATTTGCACGCGTTCAAGGAAGGAGAATGTGATACTATCATTTTAAGAAACTCCGACTTAAAGCAAAGTGATGTTAATATAATCGCTAAAAAATTTTCGCGTTTAGCTTATTTGGATTTATCTGACAACGGGGAAATTGGTAAAAAAAAAGTGCAATGAAAATTAAAAGAACAACAATTGCATTGGCGTTCGTTACCTTAATAAACATATGTACATATGTGACGCCGCACGAAGGAACACACCTTAGGGTCTTTTGCGAAATTTTACGGGATTTTCAGCACGTTAAAGATAGGGATGCAAACGATGCATCGGTGTTTTTGAAACATCCGATAATATCGGTTCAATATTCGATATTTGTCGTTGATGTTTACAATTCGATCGATGGCAGTTTTACCGATGTTTTAAATATCGGCTTTAAGGTGACTCTCCGGCTTTCTTTCGCTATGTTTGACTGGCCTTAAATGTACTATTCATTCAGAATGTTTTTTTTTGTTATTTATGGTCTTATAACACTTATATTCAACAATTTTATTGAGTTTGAGGCCATTTCTTATGAAAACTGTTATTGAAAATCAACAATAGTTTACAAAGGTAGAAGTTATAACTGCTATTACAGAAATCACCACATCTCCTCAGTGACCGCGGTTGGAGAAGTGAAGTTCAGGCCTAGGATCTTTAGGCCCGAACAACCTTACGATGGTATGCAATTTGATTCTAGTTATAGAAAGGATAATAAAACACCGGAAAATACAATCATAATTATTAAATTATTCAATATTGCTTTAAATTATAAAACATCGGAAACCATCGATATATCGACGTTTCTCTGGCGATCTATTTTAGCCTCGATGTTCTTTTCTCCAATGCATCGAAGCAGCGATCTATCGATGGTACTGCTCAAAATTTGCATCCCTTGTTAAAGATCAACTTAAAATTTAAAATTATGGTTGAAAAACAGCGTTGCCGTTTTGATACAATTGCATCATTTTTGATACTTTTTTTCTAAATTTTGTGATTTGATACTTTTTTGTTGACAAATGCCCCATTTTGATACCTTGGCTGGCAGAAATTAATTTTTGAAAACTATGAATAATATTGCTAGTTTAAATGTAAATATTTTTTTTTTGGATTTGGTAACTCTTATAAGGGAAAGACAACCCGGAATTTCTTTGCAAACGCCGCTGTTATAGGACCCCTAAACAGAGAACTTAGATAGGTCGTTCACTTTTCTAACTAAAAACTGTCAACAGTGACGTGGGTCCCAAGACACTTGTGTACATATGCTCTGACTGTTTGTCTGATGACAGGAGATACTTCGTTTTGTCCTCATTCACCACCAGATCAACAGGCTTTGCTTCTCTAGAAGGCCGAACAGGCGAAGCTTTTTTTTTACCACAACAAGAACGATTTTATCACAACAATAACGATTTGCCTCAGTAGGTTATCGGACGTTTTGTTGTGGAAGCTGGATTTTCCGACGGTGGGGCCAAAGATCCCTTCATTGCCCACCGAGGCATGTCGCTCCAAGCGCTTGAGTGTATCGTCCTTCTCTTCCGGCGAGACGTGGGATCAACCGAGCGAGATGCTGAATTATATCACTTTGATGCAGATTGTGTCCAGATGCTCTTCCACTGGTGTGAAAGATAGTACTCGGTGACGTCGCAAGGTCCCAAGAATTTTTTGTCTTCCACTGTCCATCGCATTCCTTGTAGGGTGGTGATGCCAGCCTTTGCCTTCACGATGGCATCAACCAGCCGGGCAGAGGCACTTTACCCATTCAGGAGCCGAAAAAACGCCATTTTGTATTCGCGATTTTGAATTTTTAATAAGAGATTTCGAATTCGTAATCATCGATCACAAAAACTCTTAGATACGAAGTGTAGTGAAGTTTGAAAAATCATATGGTAATATTATTTTGATCTAATCAGCATAGGGGTTGTTAAGGGTTGTTCTTCCCCTTAGTAACCGTAATTGACTTGATCTAGAAAAACGGTAAAATACGCGACCTTTGTTTAAGTCTATACTTTCCGAAATTGCTTTATTTTTTCATGGGTGCAAAATTTATTCGGACAGTGCATATCCCATATTTAATGTAATAGATGATAAGCATTTAAATGTGATCATTTTACCAAATCGAAACAAAAAATTGATTACAATAATAAAGAAAGTGATAAATAATAACATTAATTGTGCTACTTACAGATTCCGTTAAACTTATTGACCCGGTAACATTGTACCTTAGAAATTGTACAATTATGCGCGATATATACTGCCCGTATGGCCGTAGATATCTGAAAACCCTAGACATTGCCGGCTGTTCAATTAATCTTGAAGAACACCTCATTAAACGTGCATACCCAAGGCTAGAAAACTTGACTCTCAGCTGGAAGCCACGCATTAAATGGCACAGTGTACTTCGGAAATTGGGAAGATTACGGCGATTGACTATAGAAAGTGTTTGCACCCATACCCATAACCGCATATGCCCGCGTCTCTGCCGACAGGGTTGGACAAGTTTCGTAATAGCACTTATGATGAGCGAAAAAATAAAGACGATTAATTTCGGCGGACGTCTCGGCGATGAAAACTTTGCTAAATTAAAAATGCTGCCGGACAGGGAGCTTGGATTTCGTATTTGGAACGGTGCTGCTAACTGCTTATCCAATTTATATACTCTAGAAAACTTATACACACTCTATCTGGAGCATACGCATAACGTAACGAATGCAGATTTGCTGGAACTGATTACGAATTGTCCAAACTTGAGGAAAATCACACTTGATCATTGTGATGGTGTGTCGAATGATTTCCTTTTCAGAGCAGCTGAGTTTTTGAAGGAACGCGATAAGGACGAACCACTTAAACCCCGATTGAATTTGGAGTTGTGCGGCTGCGATAACATTACAGAAAATATACGAGAGGTATGTATACTAAGCACTGGAATGTCTAAGTAAAAGTTCTATAACATTTTCACTGAACTCTCCATCTTTTCCAGGATCCTCAATATGCCCGAGCAGAGTCCGCTATGAGTTTAATTTTATTCTTCGACTGCAAACATCCAACGAGTGACTACCGAAATGAGTAAGTACATATAAAAACGAAGATCGAGAATCCTAAAGTAAAAGCACTAAATCTCTGCTCCACTTACACGCAGCCTCATCATTCCCTACCCGGCACCAAATGTACAACTAAGCATTTACATACTTTTCGAAATCTTTGGAAGGCTTGAACGACCCCTACACATGCAGCCGTTTGCATCTGTTTGCATCGATTTTGAAAACGTTGCCATCGAAGAAGAGCGACATTTAAAAATTGTTCAATTCTTTAAAGCGAAAATTGTGGACAATAACATGTACGATACCTACCTGCAAATCATAGCTGAGGATAAGAACTTTTTCGAAAATCGTCAACCACCCATTGCTATGCAATTGAAGTTAAAATGTAAGGTGGTTGAGCTTGAAACAATATTTGATGATTTTCCCAAGATTGAGCGAGTACAATTGCTACATTGTGTTATTGATGAGAATAAGTTGCCCAAAAACAAGGAAATCTCCAGCGTAAAGAATTTAGAAATAGTGGACGCAAACCCACTTTATTTGTGGACAAAATTGGTGGAGTACTTTCCGAATATCAACGAAATAAAGTTGAAAATCGCATCATTGAATGAAGTATTGAGTACTAATTTGCTGAATGAAGAGCCCAAATTAAAGGGCGTTACAGCACTGGATAACATCACGCGCCTAACTATCTCTGTTGGTATCAAGGACGATTATGTAAAATTATTGGCGGATCTACCGAATTTGAAAATATTCTCTGTCCAAGATAACGACCAAATTACAGGTACGATTCTACTCTTAATGCTTCTCTTGTATTTGTTCCGAGTTTACATACACACATGTGTACATATCAGGGACCGTAACAGTTACAACTGTTATTAAAAAAAAAATGGTTCTTTAACAATAATTTTTTGACTTTTATTTGATTACTCCTTAAATAACACGTATTTCAGAATTTTATTTTATAAATACAAAATAACAATTATTTTTGATTTTCATCTTAATAACCTGCAAATAACAGTTATTTTTGATTTTTATATTATATGTCTTAGATAACTGTTATTGAAAGCTTTTGTTCATAAAAGTCATCAATAAAAATATTTAGTTCAGTGACTTTTACTTTCAAAAGTCATCAATATAAATCAGTCACTGACTTTTCTTTTTAAAGTCATACTTATAAGAAACATTTTTAGGTATACTGCTAAAAATGATCATGACTTTTATACGTATGACTTGAAGAATAAAAGTCACTGACTGATTTTTATTGAAGACTTTTGTACAAAAATCAAAAATAACTGTTATTTGCACATTATTTAGATAAAAATCAAAAATAATTCTTATTTTGGATTTATAAAATAAAAATCAAAAACTTGAATTTTTTTTTAATTTTGCATAAAAATTACAAAAAAAAGTTAATTTTAAAATTTGATTCTCGATGAAAAAAGAAATCGATTGGTATGTATCACTTAGTTGTATAACATTTCCTTCATAGTAAATTTTTCAATGACAGTTTTCATCAATAACTGTTATGTTCGGTCCCTGGTACATATGTATGTATGTATGTAGCATGTGTCTTAAATTTTCTTACTCTAATTTCGTTAGGCAAATACATTTCCGAACTGAATAGAGTAGAGGAGCTGCAGCTATATCTTTGCGAAAATTTAAACAAATATTATTTGTCTGATATATTAAGTTGCCTAGCCTTAAAATCACTTGATATCAGAAAATGTTTTTATACATCCGAAGAACATTTATCGTCGGTACACCTTACGAATGAGATGTATTTAAATTGCGAAACGCTCAGCAAAATCAAAGTTGACTGGCAAAATGAGGAAACAATTATGCTAATACAAATTATTAGCACATTAGTGGACCTTGAAGTGAGCGATTTCATGTATTCTACAATCAGCAGTGATCAAACCGATTTCGCAGAGCGATTTTTTATGACACTTGCCCAGCGTACAAATATTAAAAAGCTTACACTCGAAACTGGTGTGCTAATTAGGCATCTTAATTATTTGGCGCTTTTGCAACACCTAACACATCTGCGCGTACGATATAGTCGTAATTTTGTAGTGACACAGAACTTTTATGAGACTATTGGAAAACTAGTTAATTTGGAATATTTGTATTTGGAAAACTGTGAAGGTTTGTTACATATTGTAGAGAAATGCACAAATCTCAAAGAGGTGAGACTGATTAAGATAGATGATTTCTCTACCACTTTTATTCGTGATCTTGTCAAAGTGTTGAGGCAAGCACGCACCAAGGAGCAGCTTCCATTAAAATTATATATCCTCAATAAGAACAAACTTCCGGCTTTCATGTACAGCGAGCTCAAAGGTGATTACTCGCAGGAAACAATTGTTCTTGGACAAGAGTATGGTTTCGACGAACGATCTACAGAAAGTAATGATGCTGATGGTGTAAGTTTCTATTAGGTTTTATATTGCTTTAAAAGCTATTATGCTTCGTTTACATTATTCCAATAGCACACCTGTCCGATATGGTGGTTCGTTAATGGCATTATGTAAACAGGCAGCGGAATGAATTGATTCCACTAACTGAATTCTCGATCTTTTTTTTAAGCTTTAGTGCATATATTATAAATTAATTTTACACATTTATTTAACAGATCGCTGATATTAAAGATTACATACAAATTGTCAATGTGAAATTTGAAGGCGACCGGGCAAATTCATCATTCGATTACGAGGAATTCATGGATGAAATGACCACTTTTGATTGAAACATGTTATTCGTTGAAGAAAACAAGCGATCGCGAAATGAAAAAGTGAATCTAAATATTTTTGTATAGTTTAAAGACTAGTTACCTACATTGTATATATACATATTTTTTATGGGACAATTCACGTCAAATGACCCAAGCGCGCTGAGTGGTGCAAAACAAGAATGGGAAAAAATATTTGAAAACTATAATTTTTTATATATAATGTACTGGTTCCCATTTTTATGGCGAAGAGTCGGAACGATTTTTTTTTTATTATTCTCAATAACGGTCTTTTTTAATATTGTTTTTAGTCACCTCTATCGAAATGACAGGTCTTTTTATATAGAAATTATTAATAAACAAGTAGGTTTTAAGCAAAAAACCGAATATTTTTTAAATGTCGGGACGTATAAGCAGGTATAAGTGTCCCGATTTTTCATATTTGTACCGATTAAGACCCGATTTTCAGTATTTATTTTTTTATTCATTTATTAAAACTCTTCCTGTACTCTGGCCAAAAACAATTTTTCGTACAA